GTGAGCCAATGGAATCTGTGACTGAGGCCCCTCCGACGCTGAAAAAGTCTGATCCAGCGCTCCCAACCATTAACGTTGGCATGCATTCAGACCATGGGCGGGCGGGGGGGGCGGGGGCGGCGGGCGGCGGCGGGCATCAGGAAAAACCTCACCGAGGGATTTTACGCAAATATCCCAAAGTCCAACAGAATCCTAAGTATTCCATGGAACTGACGGATTTCACGGTCCCTTCCAAGTTTTCAGACGGAATTTTGCGGAATCCGCAGAATTCTAACAATGCCTCGCCAACTGAATTTCACCTGATTTGCCACCACCGAACCTCGGGATATCACTATGTCATAGTTATAGAATGGCAGTCAAAACAATTATCGTTATCATCAACTAATGTATGTAGCGCTACAGCCCACGCGCTCCTTGAAAAAAATATCCAACGTGTTCGACAGCCTGTCTTTATCGTCTGCTGAGCCGCAGTCGATGATGACCTACCTGTGCATAGTGGGCTCGTCGACCTTGGGCATGCACAGCTTGCTGATCGTGGTCGCCACCGGCATGCTCACCGCCGAGGACGTGGCGAGGGTCTGCATGGGGACGCCCATGGAGATGTACACGTTCAGGACGGAGCCCGATGTTGTCAAGAAGCCCGACATCATGACAAGGTGCAGCTCCGAGCGAGTCATGAGCTCGAGGGACAACTTCACGAGACACGCGGACTCACCCTGACCAAACAGGGCAAGACGGAGGCAACGGCGGCTTCCGCACCCGAGACGTTCATTGTTCTGAAGGAAGCCAGGCACTGGGTAATTGTGTCAACACTGAAATCAGAGTTCATAGCTGAAGGCAAGTACGTACGAGTTCTTATAGATTGCATCCTCAAGTTACAACTACATCATCAGCCAGAATGTGAAATGAAACTCACCACGGCATCCGAGCCCTGCTTGTCGAGCTTGCATAAACACAGAGCCAGAACACAAAGATGCCTAGAATAGAGATAATGCGGTCTTCGTAGGCCGGCTTGAGCTTCGTGTAAAGGGACTGGGAAAAGGATTTGTGTGTGATTGGGGAGCGGAGATCCGGTTTGACGTGGTCGAGGGGGTGTTAGTTTGATATTTGGACGTCGAGCTATGGGCAGGAGTGAGGATAATGGGGGAGGATGGGATGAAATTTGTGTTTGAGTGAGCTCAAGGGTGTAACAGAATGGGAAAAGACGCGTGAAGATGTCAATGTCCGGGATAAAGACAACTCAAGGACGGACGGACAAAAGGACTCACACTGAGGATAACAGGACAATCCGGCACCTCGACCCCGGCCATCTATCCGCCTCCCCTCCCTCCCCCTGTCCGTTGCCTCGCCAAGAGGCGGTGGCGGCCAAAACACGTCCGAGTCTTCCATCTCAACCGCAGCGACGTCGCTCACATCCTCGAGCTGCACCCTTATCTGAGCAGCGACCGTCTTCGCATAGGTCTGCGGCAGCTCAGGGTCAGTGTAGAACACGCACGCGAACGCCTCGGGCTTGGGCGGCGCTTGTGTAGGGTCAACACGAAGTGGCCGTGCACGTGCAGCGTGTCACTTTTGAACTTGACGTGAATGGGCACGAGCACGGGTTTGGTGGGTGCAGCAGCAATGATGGTGTCTGGGGACCTGGAGGAGTGAGAGAACGAAAGCAGATAGGGAGCTTAGCAGAGCGGTAGTTAGAGGGAAAGAGATTGGAGCATCAACTCACGGGTACTTATGCATTGTCTGCACGGCCGGATGCTTATGCATTGTCTGCACGGCCGGATGCAACTTGATAAATGCGCAGGCGGGATCATACTCTAATAGCTCTGGTCCAGCTCCGCCCCCTTCCCTCGTGGCTGGGGCTCGCTGATCCGCTTCCACCCTTGCGAAAAACACTCATCCCGCCACCACTGATCTGTCCGCTCCATATCGCAGCGCAGGGCACGTCCCCCCGCTCACGACAAAGTTACTGTCGTCAGAGTCGAGCGCGCCTGCAATGGGCAGCTCGTAGCCCGAGCACAGGTCCACGTAGCTAGCTTACGGTGCCAGATTTGTACCGCGCCTGCGTAGGGAGTATGAGTGAGGGTAGGGTGAAAGGACACGGGAGGAATGAACAAGAAGAAAATGTGCGAAGTCAAACATTTGTACATGTTTATTTATGACGTCAACACAGCTAAACGGCATGCTCGCGTAGACTTGCGTTGTGTTCGCGCCCAACCCACTGACTT